TTCTCTTTCTTCAGCAGCAATTCTTTCAAATTCAAGTCGTTCTTCTTCTTCTTTTTGTGCTCTTGCTGCAGCAACTTCTTGCTTTCTCTTAGCAATCTTTTCTTTTAACTTTTCATCATCTCCTTTCATAGCCTCAATCTCTGCCTCAAATTGTGCTTCAAGAGCTCTCATTTCTTCTTCCATTTGTCTCTTCATTTCTTCTTGTCTGGCTGCTGAGTCCGCTTCAAGTTGATCGTCTTCAACAATTTCATATTCTTCTTCTTCTTCTCCATCCTCTACTTCGTCTTCGTACTCTTCATCTTCGTATTCATATTCTTCTTCATATTCTTCGTTCTCGTCAGCCATATTGTTTTACTCTTTGTCATTATACAGTTCATTTAAATTTAAAACTCCTTCTATTTTTAGCTTATATGTATTTCTTCTTAAATAGTTTTACTAATCAAAAAATATGGTTTTTTTCCTTTTAATTAGTCTGAAAAAAATCAGCGTTCTCTTCTCGTGATTTGATCTCAAAAATAAACGTTTTGTATTTTTATAGTTTTTTATTATTTACATGTGAACCTTGTTTTTCTCTTCTAGAACATGGTTTATCTTGATATTTTATTCGCCTTTTCATTGTCTTTACTAGATTTTCTTCATTTTTGATTTTTTTTTCCTGTTTGTCTAAATAACAAACTCTTTCTCTTATTTCTTCCTGATAACAAAAATCTTCTTAAACCTTGTTTGTTCTTTCTTATAAACCTCAAAAAGATGACTCCTTTATTTAAATATAATATTTGTTAAAGATATGGGTTTTAGTACAGTGCCTTATTAGTGAGTAATTTGATTTGAGTCCCAAACAGTCTCAAATAAAAAATGATTGAAACCAAATAATAAGGTTATTCATTATAGTTGTTTATTTTTCTTTTATAAGTAAAAATTTTTTTTATTAAACTAACAAACACTAATATGATGCTTTACAGAAAATTTCCTACTTCTTATAATTGATTTCTAAATGAAAGAACAAACTTATTTATTTGATTTGAAGTTAAAAGTTATTAATAGTTATAATTTTTTTCTTAGACATATCTTCGACAACTCGTTTTTTAAGTCTATTTAGATTTAATTACTAGTGTATTGAACCACTCTTTTTTGTACTATTAGATGAAATAATTCCCTGTATAATATCCTGTATAGTATTATCTTCATTTTTTTTATTTTTAATGTTTTTTTCATTAATAAGAAATAGCTTCTTATTATTAATATTGCTTCTTTGGTTGTTTTGTTTAATTTCTTTAGAATATTTTATTTATTTGTTTTTAATATTCAATTGGTTTCATTCACTCATTATTACACTAATTTATAAATGATTGTTGTTCTTCGTTTTATTCTTTTTCTAGATTTATCACTAATAGATTATAATATTTAACAAACATCTTGTAAATTAAGAAATTTGGCTATAATCATTTATTCTTGGCAAAAAAATATTATCATTGATATTTTTTTAAAGGTTTCTGTTATGTTTCATCTTGGTCTAGTAACCTTCATATCCAAGACAAACAGGAACTAATAGTTATAAATATAATATCATCTTTGACTCTTAAAATCATCATTATTTGTAAACATCTTTTAAATGATATAACAATAAATAATATTGATTCTTTTTTCATTCATTTTTTCATTTTTATTAATTTTTGGTAGATTTTTAGCACTAAGGGTCATATATTATTACCGCTTTTTAATTTCAAATATAAAGAAACGTTCAATGCTTATTTATAAATTTAAAATCTTTGTTTTGTATCAATTTTCAATTGATAAATTAAAATTATTAATTTTCGTTTTAAAGGAATATAATTAAAACAATGAATCTAATTAATTTAGATGATAAAGAATAAGATATTTTGTTTAAACCATTCAAGTCAAGTACAATACAAAATTAGTTAAATAAAGAAGATAAAAAAGAAATGAAAAGATAAATGAAAGTCAAAAAGAAAGAAGAAACAAAGGATAAATGATACAACAAAAGTAAAGTCAATAGAAACAGCAAGAAAGAATAAAGAAATACTAAAGAATAAACACACAAATCAAAAATAATATATTGATAAAGAGATGGATAAATTCAAATGATTTAGATAAAGAAGGAATGACAAAAATGAATATCAAGAAAAGACTAAAACAAGAAGTAAACAACAAAAGAAAGAGTATAAATGAATAAATAACACAACATAAAACACATAATAGAATAGACATTATATGAAGTTAAATGAAGGATAGAAAAAGACAAATTAAATAAATGAAAAATGTCAATGTTATCCTTTAATTATCTTCTTCAATACAAATATTTCAATAAAATAATTAAAATAAAATAATAGCAAAACAGTGTATAGAAATACATAGAATAAGAATAAATACATGACATAAAAGATAATCATAAAAATAATAATGAATGATAACAAAGTTTTTAATTTAAAACAAATAATTCTGATGATTAAAAATAAAACACATATAAACAAACAATGAATGGAAATGATAAATAAAGAAATGCAACTTTCACTTTTTTGTTTATTTAAAATGAAATGGAAATACTAAAAGAAATAGTAAAAGAGACAAAAGAAGAAAATAGTAATGATGAATAGAAATTGATAAATCAAAAACACAATAATGAATATATTCTTTGAAGAATATTCCATCTTTTTCTCTTACCTTCATCCTTTTTAAGTATTTCTTCGTATTCTTCCTTTTCCCATTCATTGTTATTCCTTTTATTCTTTCTTGTATCTCATTTATTGTTATCCATTTATATTTAATTCTTTCTTGTATATCATTTATTGTTATTTATTTATATTTGTTATGGGTTTATTATTGTATTTACCTTGTTTTTTATTTGTTTTTCTTTGTGTCTTTTGTCTTCTAATCCCTTTTCTCTTGTTATTTCATTTACCATTATTATTGTTATTCCATTTATTGATATTCACATTCATTCTATTGTATATTGTTAAATTTCTATGTTTTGTTTTTTTTACAATATACATTGTTATTATACAATAACCATGTCATTAAAATTTATTTCATTTCTTGCATTAAAAAAGGGAATATTGAGAAAAATGATATGA